GTCTTTTAACGTGGATTTTTTAAATAATTTTTAAAGTCCCTCTTCAGATCATTAGGCGTGGATTTTTTAAAGAATTTTTGAGGCCTTCCTTTAGGTCATTAGGCGTGGTTTTTTTAAAGAATTTTTGAAGCCTTCCTTTAGGTCATTAGGCGTGGATTTTTTAAAGAATTTTTAAGGAATATATTCAGGTCATTAGTTTTGAGACCTTCCTTCAGGTCATTAGGCGTTTTAAAGTTTCATTTCAGGTCTTCCAACGCGATTTTTTTAAATTATTTTTTCACCCTTGTACCCACTTTTGATCCCCACTGTGTCCATGAATTCTCATGAAAATGAGCTGTGAGTGAAAGTCTTTAGTTTTTGCATGTAGTTTGTTTTCTTCTTTTGATTAATGTAATGAGCATTTTGGAACACTTAGAACGAGTGTAGGGACCAGAAAAAAATTAATTGGAAAAATAATTTCAAAGGAAAGAATAACCAACCATTTTGACAAAGTATGTGAAATACTCTACAAAGCTGGGACGTTTCTGACGAAAGTTATATGCGAAATGTTGTAATTTGTTAATGTGTTGGTGTGGAGTGCTTTGAAAAGAAATATTAAAAAATATTTCCAAGTAAAACAAAGAAACAAAAAATCTGCCAAATGGACTTTTAAAATTTTTTAAATAAAAAAAAAATAAGTGGCGCCCAAACAGGGGCACAAAATTTGAAACAGTAATATATAAAAAGAAAAATATATATTATTAATCCCTCATTGGATTTTGTTAATTTTTCTGAAGATATAATGACACCAAATAATCAAAAATTAAATATTTTTTCTAATGGCGCCCAACGTGGGATAACGGATTAAAATAGTAAAATGACCTTAGAGAAAAATTCTATTAGGCACTGGTTGGTTTGATATTTTTTTTTTCGAAGATATGATGCCAGAAACTCTTTAATAAAATACTTATTTAAATGGCGCCCAACGTGGGGTAAGGAATTTAAACTGTAAAATAGCCTAAGAAAAATGTATATTAATCACTCTTTAGTTTTTATACCCTCCACCATAGTATGGAGGTTATATCAAGTTTGTCATACCGTTTGTAACACCTCGAAATATACATTTTAGACCCCACAAAGTATAAATGATCTTGATCAGCATAAAATTCTATGTCGATTTTGCGATGTCCGTCCGTCTGTGGAAATCACTCTAGCTACCGAACGAAATGAAGTAAGTTGATAAAATTTTACTCAAATGTATATTATGTTTGGAGGACTTTTGGTATTGAAAATGGACCATGTAGCTCCTCGTTTTCGTATAGCCCCCATAGAATGGTACCTCCCGATATTCGGTATTTTGATGATTATGGCGACATTATTCACCGGAATTGTTTCAAATTTGGTATTTGAAGTTCGTAATGGATACTATAGCCCATGACAGAAAATTGTCCATGCAGGTCCACGTCTTCGTATAGCCCCCATATAACGGCACCTCCCAATATTCGGTATTTTGATGATTTTCGAGACATTATTCACCGGAATTGTTACAAATTTGGTATTTGAATCTCGTGATGGATACTGCAGCATATGACTGAAAATTTTCTGTACAGATCCACGTCTTCGTATAGCCCCCGGATAGCGGTACCTCCCGATATTCGTATTTTGATGATTTTAGCGACATTTTTCACCGGAATTGTTTGAACTTTGGTATTTAAAGTTCGCAATGGATACTGCAGTCTATGGCTGAAAATTGTCTGTACAACTCCACGCCTTTATATAGCTCCCATATAACGGCACCTCCCGATATTCAGTATTTTGATGATCTTAGCGACATTTTTCACCGGAATTGTTTCAAAATTGGTATATGAAGTTCGTAATGGATAGTACAGCCTATGACAGAAAATTGTCTGTACAGGTCCACGTCTTTATATAGCTCCCATATAACGGCACCTCCCGATATTCAGTATTTTGATGATTTTAGCGACATTATTCACCGGAATTGTTTAAACTTTGGTATTTAAAGTTCGCAATGGATACTGCAGTCTATGGCTGAAAATTGTCTGTACAACTCCACGCCTTCGTATAGCCCCCATATAACGGCACCTCTCGATATTCGGTATTTTGACGATTTAAGCGACATTATTCACCGAAATTGTTTCAAATTTAGAAATAGAGTTTCGTAATGGATACTCCAGCCTATCACAGAAAATTGTCTGTGCAGCTCCACGTCTTCGTATAGCCCCCAGATAGCGGTACCTCCCAATATTCGTATTTTGATGATTTTAGCGACATTATTCGCCGATTTTTTTTTTTTTTTTTTGTTTGAGTTTCGCATTTAAATTTTGTTATGGCTTTTGATAAAATATGCCTTTACAGGTCCACGTCGTCGTTTAGACCCTAATATAACAGCTGCATTCGGTATTTTTAAGATTTTAACAGAATTTTCAACAGATTTTTTTTTGAAAATTTCAAAATTCGTTCCAAATGGTGGGGGGTATTCAAAGTTCGGCCCGGCCTTTTTTAATTGTTTATTTTTCTGATGATGCAATGTTCTTAAATAAAATATTTTTTTAAATGGCGCCCAACGTGAGGTGAAAAATTAAAGCTTTAAAATTGCCTTAGAAAACATTTTATTAATCGCTGTTTGGTTTTATATTATTTTTTCCGAAGATATGATGCCAGAAATTCTCTTTTATAAAATGTCTTTAAAATGGCGCCCAACATGGGGTAAAGAATAAAAATTGTAAAATTGCCTTAGAAAATGTATAATGTATCACTCATTAGTCTTTTCTTTTTCTGATGATGTTATGCCAGCAATGCTCTTAAATAAAGTATTTTTTTAAATGGCGCCCAATGTGGGGAAGGAACATAAAATAGTAAAATAGCCTTGAAACAATATATTAGTCGCAGGTATGTTTTATATGGTTTTTTTCGTAGATATGATTCCAGTAATTCCCTCTAATAACAATATTTTTTTAATGGCGCCCAACGTGGGGTAAAAAATTAAAAAAGGAAAAATGACCCTAGAAAAAATTCTATTAATCACTCATTAATTAAAAAAAAAAATAAAAAATATGATGCCAGAAATTCTTTTTAATAACAATTTTTCTTTTTGAATGGCGCCCAACGTGGTGTAAAAAGAATTAAAACAATAAAATAACCTTAGAAAAAATTCTATTAATCACTCATTAATTAAAAAAAATTAAAAATATCATGCCAGAAATTCTTTTTAATAAAAATATTTCTTTTTGAATGGCGCCCAACGTGGGGTAAAAAATTAAAACAGGAAAAAAAAACCTTAGAGATTCTATTAATCACTCTTTAGTTTTTTTTAAATAAAAAATATGATGCCAGAAGTTCTCTGTAATAAAAATATTTTTTTGAATGGCGCCCAACGTGGGATAGAAAAAAATTAAAACAGGAAAATGGCCCTAGAGAAATTTCTATTAGTCACTCATTATTTTTTTTTTTTAATAAAAGATATGATGCCAGAAACTCTCTTTAATAAAAATATATTTTTTTTTTGAATGGCGCCCAACGTGGCGTAAAGATTAAAACTGGAAAATAACCTTAAAAAAATGCTATTAATCTTTAATTCTCTTTAGTTTTTTTTTTTTAATAAAAGATATGATGCCAGAAATTTTTATAAAAATGTTTTTTTCAATGGCGCCCAAGGTGGGGTAAAACAATAAAATAACCTTAAAAATTCTATTAATCGCTCTTTAGTTTTTAAAAAAAAATTAAAAATATGATGCCAGAAATTCTATTTAAAATAATATTTATTTGGAATGGCGCCCAACGTGGGGTAAAAAAATAAAACAGGAAAATGACCCTAGAAAGTTTATATTACTCACTCTTTAGTTTTTTTTTTAATAAAAGAAATGATGCCAGGAACTCTCTAATAAAAATATATTTTTTTGAATGGCGCCCAACGTGCGGTAAAAAAATTAAAACAGGAAAATGACCTTAGAAAAAATTCTATTAATCACTCATTAATTTAAAAAAAAAAAATGTGGCCAGAAATTCTTTTTAATAAAAATATTTCTTTTTGAATGGCGCCCAACGTGGGGTAAAACAATTAAAAAAATAAAATAACCTTAAAAAAATTCTAATGATCAGTATTTAGTTTTTTTTTTTTAAATAAAAATTTGATGCCAGAAATTCTCTTTAATAATTTTTTTTTTTTGAATGGCGCCCAACTTGGTGTAAAAAATTAAAACAGGAAAATGATTGTAGAATATTTTTTTTTTGTGGGGTTGGTTTTTCCTTTTTTTTTTTTTGACAATGTGTCAGCTTAACTCTAAAATAAAAAAAAATATTTTAAATGGCGCCCAACGTGAAATAAGAAATAAAGAATGCGAAATAGGCTACCCAATCCCAGGTTGGATAATTTGTAACATTTTTTGATTATTTTTATGATTTCGAGAAGATATGATGCTCCAAAAATTTTTATTATTATCAAATGGCGCCCAACAAGGGGCATTGACATTCCTTCCAACAAAGAAACCTTGTAACATTTAGAAAACTATTTTCTACTACTCCTGCTTGTCTTCCATTAAATCTTTTGCTCAATTGGAAATGTTAAATTAAAAGCAAACCACTTGCTATGGCAATCGACAAAAAATTTCAAAGAATATGAAAGCAGGCTACTCAATTCAGGATACTTGCAACATCAACAACAGCTCTAAAACCTTACACCTCCCTCCCTCTCTCTCTCTCTCTTTCTTTAGCCATTATCCCATACAATTCAATTCATTGGGAATTGGTATTTTTTTTTTTTGTTTTGTTTCTTGTTGCTTTTTTGCATCCAATCAAACACATGCGTCCCCATCAGCCGCATCACATGCATTTGTCGACCGAGAAATGTGTGTGTGTGTGTTGTTATCCTTTTGCGAAAAGGATAATCTTGCTGTATGTACTTTATATCTCTCGCTCTCTACTAATAATCCCATATTGTTTCATTTTGCATTTAAGTGAGTACTACATATATGTGAGTGTGTGTGTGTTTCGTTTCATTGCAGATATTATTCATGGAAAGCTGTTCCAGAATAATCGCTTTCTGGAAATCGATTATGCCCAGGGTCGTGATATACCACCCGGTTATACAACAAAGATTGCTAAAACCCTACAGGATTGGGTCGATTCATGTGATGCCATTTCCAATTGCATTGTCGAACAGATAAAACATGCAAATGCCGAGAAATCAAAGAAGCTGGATAATAAAAAGCAAATTGAACAAAAGGTAAGGCCAAATAAAAAACATGGTAGTGATGATGGGGGTACTAATGCTGGACGGATATGTTTTAATGCATTTTTTTTTAAGAATTTCTTAAGATTTAATTTTGGTCTTAAACAAATAATTTTCGAGGACCCCTTGAAGGATCTTGTAAAAAAATTTCGGGGAGTCCTCGAAGACCTTGTCACAAGGATTTCTCAATAATTTTTTGAGGTGTCCTAACAGCCTTGATACGGAAAATTTTTGAGGCCTTCCACGTGGATTTTTAATGAATTTTCATAGCCTACTCCAGACCTTACCACGTGAATTATTCAAGAATTCTTGAGGAATACTAAAATGTGTTACACCTGAATTTTTAGAGCTTTTTAGGCTTTGATTTGTTTTTTTTAAATAATTTTTGAGGCTTCCCTTCAGGTCTTTAAACGTGGATTTTTTTGAAAAATGTTTGAAGCTTTCCAATGTGTTTTTTAAAGAATTTGTTTAGGCTTTCCTTCAGGTCATTAGGCTAGGATTTTTGAGGCCTCCATTCAGGTCTTTCAACGTAGATTTTTTTAAAGAATTTTTGTGGCCTTCATTCAGGCCGGTAAGAGTGGATTTTTCGAAGAATTTTTGAGGCCTTCCTTCAGGTCATTAGTCGTGGATTTTTTAAAGAATCTTTAAGGGCTTCCCTCAGGCCTTTCAAGGTGGATTTTTTAAAGAAATTTTAAGGCCTTCCCTCAGACCTTTCAATGTGGATTTTTTAAAGAATATGTTTAGGCCTTCCTTCAGGTCATAAGGCTAGGATTTTTTTAAGAATTTGTTTAGGTCTTCCTTCAGGTCATTAGGCGTGGATTTTTAAAGAGTTTTTGGGGCATTCCTTCTTTCAGGTCATTAGGCGTGGATTTTTTAAAGAATTTTTGAGACCTTCCTTCAGGTCATTAGACGTGGATTTTCTAAAGAATTTTTGAGGCCTTCCTTCAGGTCATTAGGCGTGGATTTTTAAAGAATTTTTAGAGGCCCTCCTTCAGGTCATAAGACTAGAATTTTTTAAATAATTTTTGAGGATTTCCCTCAGGCCTTTCAATGTGGATTTTTTGGAGAATTTTTTAAGGCCTCCCTCCAGCCTTTCAAAGTGGCTTTGCGACATGAATTTTTTATATAATTTTTGAGGAATCTTTAAATTCATTTTCCGTAGATTTTTGGGGACTACTCAAAGACGTTACCAAGTGGATTTTTTAAATCCTTAACCCCTTAAACTTTATTCTGCTAGAACTTTTTAGATGTGGGGTTTTTGAAGAATTTTTTGAGAATTTCTAAAGCCCAAAAAATGTGGAATTTTTAAAGAAATTTCAAAAAATACCTAAAGCTCAGGAAATGAGTTTTTTAGAGAACATCTAAGGCTCAGAAAACGTCGATTTTTTATAAAGATTTTTTGGGGTTCTCTATAGACCAAAAAACGCGATTTTTTTAAAGATTTTTCTGAGGCCATCCTATTGCCCTGAAACGTGAATTTTTTTAAGATTTTTCTGAGGCCATCCTATTGCCCTAAAACGTGGATTTTTTAAAGATTTTTCTGAGGACATCCTACTGCCCTAAAACGTGGACTTTTTAAAGATTTTTCTGAGGCCATCCTATTGCCCTGAAACGTGGATTTTTTAAAGATTTTTCTGAGGCCATCCTATTGCCCTGAAACGTGGATTTTTTAAAGATTTTCTGAGGCCATCCTATTGCCCTAAAACGTGGATTTTTTTAAAGATTTTTGAGGTCATCCTATTGCCCTAAAACGTGGATTTCTTAACGATTTTTCTGAATCCATCCTATTGTTCTAAAACGTGGATTTTTTAAAAGATTTTTGAGGTCTCCCGTAGACCTAAAATGTGGATTTTTTAAAGATTTTTCTGAGGCCATCCTATTAGCCTAAAACGTGGATTTTTTAAAGATTTTTCTGAGGCCATCCTATTGCCCTAAAACGTGGATTTTTTAAAGATTTTTCTGAGGCCATCCTATTGCCATAAAACGTGGAGTTTTCAAAGATTTTTCTGAGGCCATCCTATTGCCCTAAAACGTGGATTTTTTAAAGATTTTTCTGAGGCTATCCTATTGCCCTTAAACGTGGATTTTTTAAAGATTTTTCTGAGGCCATCCTATTGCCCTAAAACGTGGATTTTTTAAAGATTTTTCTGAGGCTATCCTATTGCCCTTAAACGTGGATTTTTTAAAGATTTTTCTGAGACCATCCTATTGCCCTAAAACGTGGATTTTTTAAAGATTTTTCTGAGGCTATCCTATTGCCCTTAAACGTGGATTTTTTAAAGATTTTTCTGAGGTTATCCTATTGCCCTTAAACGTGGATTTTTTAAAGATTTTTTTTATCTTTATTTTAATTTCCAAATGTTTGCTATTTAAAACTATTCAATTATTTATTAAAAAAGCATTCTACCGATTCGGTATTTTTTATGCATTTCAGTTTCAGGCTTTTTTTAATTTAAACAAATCACAATTTATCTGCAGATAAATTTCCAAATTTTGGCAATTGATAAAATTATCCATCTTTTAATAAATTATTATTTAAAAATTCACTCTCCACATTGGGGATTTATTTAATGAATTTCTAAAGCATACTTTCAGGCTAATTTTTTAATTTAAATCAAATCGCAGTTTATCTGCAGATTAATTTCCAAAAATTTGGCCATTTAAAAAAGTGACCATGTTTTTGTCAAACATTCATTAAAAATTCATTCTCCACAAATTGTGGCACTTGATGGCGAAATTACAGCCACTTGACTGGCTGGGATTTCATAGACAGACACCCTCACTCATGATTTCATCGTCGTTCGTCATACCTTATTAATTTAATTAAAACTTTGTCACTGATTTTGTTTTATGCGAATGAGAATAATGCCTGGGAGTTAGCCAAACCTATTTGTTTAACAGTCAGTCCAACCCTCCCGCTAAACATTGCTAATGCTCTTCCAAATGCGTCTTCTCTTCTTTTCTTTTCAGATATTTAATTTGAAGAAAGTTTTCAAAACTCAAATTAACGACAACGATGATGCCATGCAAATCGATTCACGGGAAACAACAACCTCATCCACCAGCCAGGAGGCAGCGCGCAAGAAAAGTTCCAAAGTTAAGCCATCACGATCTGCGGGTAAGTTGGACGAAACGGGAAAAAAAAACTTTCAAATTCACTTAAATGTTAATTCAATTGGTGGTGGGGTTGGAGAGGTGTAGGAGAAGCTTGGAGGGTGTCCATTACAATGTAAAAAGGTGCAATGTGTTTGCACAGAAAATAATTCTCCAACCCTCCCCTCACCCACTTTTCAAACTCTCGCTGGCAAAGTCAACAATCAAGGATCTTCGACGCCCAACACTTGAACACTTCAAGTTTTGCTGCAGCACTTTCTGACAGTTGCAATGCTGGGCTCTGCTGCATCAGTTTCAGTCAGTCCGTCAGCCAGCCAGTCGTCATTCATCCATCAAATGCCATGATGAATACCCATTAGAAGCTACTGTTGTTGTTTGCCATTTGAATAGATTTCCCAGCCCAGCCTTGTGGCTGGCCATTGGAGTTCCAGGAAAGACTGCTGATGGTGGCGTTGATGATATTGCATCTGCATGAAGCTGCAGCCATTTGTTGCTTTCTCCATTGCGGCGGGTACTTTTCATCATCAATATTAACGGCATTAAGTTGGCGATCCTTGAAGTTGATTCAATGAAGCGTGCATATTTTTCAAACTAGCTCTTAATTTGTTTTCTTTGGCATCGGCAAATTTGGCGAATTGATTTTTTTCCTGTTAAAAGTTTTGAGGGGGAGTCCTCCGCTAAATTGCTGCAATTGATTTGTAAGCGAGAGAAAGTTAGGAATTGGGTGATTTGGGAAGGGAAGAACACCAAGAGAATTTTTTCCTATAAAAATCCGAAACAAAATACCAAATATTTTCTCTAGGAGAGTGGCAAAAAAAATCATTATAGAAGGACAAAAAGGCCGGGCCGAGCTTTGAATACCCTTAACCATTTGGAAAAAATAAAATTTGAAACAATTCCGGTCAATAATGTCACTAAAATCACCAAAATACCGAATATCGGGAGGTACCGTTATATGGGGGCTATACGAAGACGTGGACCTGCACGGTCAATTTTCTCTCATAGGCTGTAGTATTCATTACGAACTTCAAATACCAAAATTGAAACAATTCCGATGAATAATGTCGCTTAAATCATCAAAATACCGAATATCGGGAGGTACCATTATATGGGTGCTATACGAAGGCCAGGACCTGCGCGGACAATTTTCTGTCTTAGGCTGTAGTATTCATTACGAACTTCAAATACCAAAATTGAAACAATTCCGATGAATAATGTCGCTAAAAGCATCAAAATATCGAATATCGGGAGGCACCACTATATGGCGGCTATACGAAGACGTGGACCTGCACGGACAATTTTCTCTCATAGGCTATCATATCCATTACGAACTTCAAATACCAAACTTGAAAGAATTCTGGTGAATAATGTCGCTAAAACCATAAAAATACCGAATATCGAGAGGTACCGTTATATGGGGGCTATACGAAGGCATAGACCTGCGCTCACAATTTTCTGGCTTAGGCTGTAGTATCCATTACGAACTTCAAATACCAAATTTTAAACAATTCCGCTAAATAATGTCGCTAAAATCATCAGAATACCGAATATCGGTAGGTACCGTTATATCGGGGCTATACGAAGACGTGGACCTACATGGCCCATTTTCAATAACAAAAGTCCTGCAGACATAATACACATTTAAATAAAATTTTATCAACCTACTTCATTTCATTCGGAAGCTAGAGTGATTTCCACAGACGGACAGACGTACGGACATTGATAAATCGACAGAATCTTATGCTGATCAAGAGACTATATGTACTTTGTGGGGTCTAAAATGTATATTTCGAGGTGTTACAAACGGAATGTCAAACTTAATATACCCTCCATACTATGGTGGGTATAAAAAAGATTTATTTTTAGATGATTAAAAAGGTCGGTTTGGAGAAGGACCTTAAACGATTGATACACAAGACCCTATCCTATAAGACACCTAAGACGTCTGCTCAAAAACGACGACGACGAAACATCTAATGAAGTTCAAAAAGAAGTTTTATAAACGTTGTTAGAAGTCGAGGAATGAAACAAGTCCGCTTTGTTAGGGTGTAATTTCAATTCTAGTTTTTATTTAAAAATAGGTTCCTTAAGTTCTACTGAAACTTATCTTACTTAACCTAATTATTCTTATCTATTCTAATATTGAATGGAGAACATTGCAGGACTGCTTGCCATTTTATTCAAGTGGTCTTGTACATACAGGGTGAGATGAAAAAACTGCAACCAACTTCAGACTGCCGACATTTCTAAGCCACTCGTCCGCCAGCTGTTAAAATTATTCTAGTGACAGCTCATTATATTGTTTACAGGCTTACAAAAGCATTTTGGTGAGAATTTTCCCGGAAAAAAGTTATTCGTGATGGAATTCAAGCTGGATAGGTGTGATTTCTTGATATTTGGCTGGAAAATCACAAGTGGCTATCATTAGGCCACTACAGCATTTAAATGTGAATAAATCTTTTCTGTCTCGTACCATCGTTGATACTGGTAGCGTAGCCCGACATCAAGGAAGTGGACGGAAGAACACAGCAACATCAGCAGAAATGGTTCGAAAAGTAAAGAAGCGACTTGATCGAAACCCATGACGCAGTGGCCGAAAAATGCCTCGTGACCGGAAATATCGCAATATTCCATTCGGCAAATATTGAAAAATGAATGGAGCTCGGGGTAATGCCATTGAAATTCCACAAAGTGCAAGGTTCGAAAAGTAAGGAAGCGACTTGATCGAAACCCACGTCGCAGTGGCCGAAAAATGGCTCGTGAGCTGAACATATCGCAATATGCCGTCTGGCAAATATTGAAAAGTGAATGGAGCTCGGGGTAAAGCCATTGAAATACCAAAAAGTGCAAGAAGTTACACCTCAGCAGAAAGAAAATAAGCTCAGAAGAGCTAAAGAGTTGCTTCGCTTGGCCAAAAGTGGTGAATTGCCGAGTTTGGTTTTCTCCGATGAGAAAACATTCATTGTCCAGTAGTTTGTAAACAAACAAAATGATCCTGTTTACTTGCCACAGAGGTCAGCTGAAATGTGCACCTTTCGTTGGCCACCTGAACTCAAGCGCCGGCCATGGTGATGGGGCATGCCAATATTTTGCCCGCAGATCTTGGACATTCCAACAGGACTCAGCGGCATGGCACTCAGCACGCCAACGCCACACAAGGATTACAAAATGAGGTTCCTTCCAATATTTTGCTCGCAGATCTTGGACATTCCAACAGGACTCAGCAGCATCGCACCCGTTGGACTATGGTGCCTGGAGTATTTTGGAAAGCAAGGTTGGCACTAAAAAACACCAAAGTGTAGATCATCTCAAGCAAGTGTTTCGCCAGGAATGGGCCTAAATACCGCAGAGCAACATTCGGGCAACGTGTGACGGTTTCATTGGCCGTTTGAAGGCCATAATTCGTGCCAAAGGTGACCAATTCGAACAAATATAGACTTATTCTAAAATTTGATGCTATGTCCGACATTTTTTGCTTTCATTCAATGAAATTTAAAAAATATGTAAAAATTATGGCGTTTGACTTTGTTGCAGTTTTTTTTTATCTCAACCTGTATTCTTATCTATTCTAATATTGAACGGAGAACATAGAAGGGCTGCTTGCCATTTCATTCAAGTCGTCTTGTACATCTACTGAGCGAATCGATATCTCTGCGCGGAAATCATAACCTTTATTATCTCACACATTATCGAATTGTTCACATGTAGTATTTTATGTCGACTGGAAAATATGTAATTTTAGAATATTTATTGTCTATTGCGAGATTTTTCCAGCGCCTCAACCGCACTCAAAAGTATGTCCAAAGTATTTTGTACAAACGTTGCTTGGGAAAAAGGAAATCCCTTCCTATTGAAGTATTAAAACATTTTCTTATCAAAATCATTAGAATTATCCAATATAAGTATGAATATGTCTTTTAAAAATGGTATCTCTCTATGGGACCAAGAAGGACTTTTGAAGATGGGAATCTTTAGCTGATAAGGAGACACGATACAGCTTTTTTAGCGTTGGGCCTTAAGAACTGCTTATGATAATATGTCTTAACCTAGCTTAACCCGGATTGGCTGTCCGTAAGTTAGATCCCTGTTTAAGTAAAATCTCTCTATATCTGCTTGAACATTGAAACACCAGGAATACTTAGAGTGAATGCCATTAATATTCGATTTTTTGTTTATTTTTTAAGTAAAAATTTCCTTTTAAAATTATAAAAAATCTGCCATTAGTATTCGGGTTTTAAGTTATAACCTAGAAAACTATTAAAAAAAAAATACATAAATATTAATATCTTGTAGGATAGCCCTTATTTTTAATCACTTCTGAAAGGCGATTTGGCATATTCTTAATGCATTTTTGTAAATAATCAACTCCGATTTTATTCCATTCTTCTTGAAGCCTGTTTTTAAGATCATTTTTCGAAGAAACTGGCTTCTCACGAACACGCCGATCCAAATGATCCCACAAATTTTCAATCGGATTCATGTCGGGTGATTGTGATGGCGTATTTATAACTTTTGGGCAATTGTATAATATGCTTAGGGTCATTGTCTTGGTATAATTTAAATGTAGACAAAATACCCATTTTTTCAGCAGATTGCTTCAAAGTGTCTTTCAAAATTGTTAAATAAGACTCCTTATTCATTATAGCATCAATGAAATCTAGGTTTCCCACTCCTTTCGCCGATATGCATCCCCACACCATGACACTTCCACCTCCGTGTTTTACTGTTGGAGTGATATTTTTCCCTTTCAGTTCCTCATTCGGTTTACGCCAAACCATAGCCTTCCCATCACTTCCAAATGTGTTAAATTTGTTCTCATCGAGGAAAATTACATCATCCCACCAAGATACATCCTTCTGAATATGTTCCTTCGCAAAATTGAGGCGATTTCTTCTATTGACCAAATTCACAAAGGGTTTTTTTTTTTTGAGCCACTCGACCGTTGTACCCTTCTCTTTTTATTATGCGGCGTACAGTTAACTCAGAAATTGATTTTTTTTTTAATTCCGTTTTAACCTCGGCCACAATTTTAGGAGCACTAAGTCGCGGATTTACTTTTATTTTCCTGACACTATTGCGTTCTTCCATCTTGGTTAGTTTTTTGGGCTGGCCAGTTTGTTTCTTAAACTCAATTCTACCCTCATTTTTGTACCTTTTGACGATATCACCAATCGTATTTTGTTTTATATTTAACATTTCAGCAATTTCTTTATACTTTTTTCCGTTTTTGTAATGTATAATTTCCAAATTTCTCAAATTTGGCGGAGTATTTTTTCTTTTACGACCCATTGTAGTTTATAAGAGTCAAAAAATAAAAAGAATGCTGTTTATGCATGTGTTGAACTTTTTTTGTGTTTTGTTAATGCGTGATTCCCCACTTTCTACAGAAAACATGCAGCATTGAAGATTTACAGCGTTGTATTTGCGAGTTTGGGGAAAAACCGAATATTAATGGTGCACAAATATTTTGATATTTTCCGTATTGGTCGAATTTGCCATATTAAAGTAAATATTACGAAATAAATTATGAGGTAATTTTTACCTCTAAATATGTATATTTCACTACATAAAAAATAGATTTTTTTAAAATCTAAATAGAAATTTCGACTTACAAAAAAATCTATAAAAAACCGAATATTAATGGCATTAACTGTATGTCTTAATTTGGAGCTTCTGAAACATTTTTTATGTCTCCCGTTTTTTGTTTTTTTTTTTTGCAAATTTATTTTTCTCCTTTCCCTAGCCGACTCATTTCTTCTCCGCTTCTCACTTTGGAAATTCACTGTGCCACATGTGATATATCGTTATGAGTCTTATTAATTTTTGACATTTTGCTTGGCATTTGCGATTTTTTTTGCTCCCTGTGACCTTAAGGATAATATGGGATTTAGATTTACTTAAAGCGAGAAAAAAAACAAGGAAAAAAGGAAGCTTCTGTGACATTGAAATATGGGTGTTGTGCTCCATTTGACTGTGTCCAAAAATACATATTATGGTATTTAACCTTTAGCGTGAGATAAAGAGTCTTATACAATTTGTTATCATATGCCCTGCAGCGTTTTTTCGTATTTTTTCTCTCTCTCTTTTAACTTATTAACAGTAACTTTATTCGCAGCAAAATATTTAGATTGGGGTGGTGCTTGGGCGAAAAATTTATTTTATATTATCTAAGTTTTCCCTTTTCTTCTCGTTTTTTGCAGTTTGAAAGGATTCCGGTGACTGGTTGCGGAATACTAAGTGTGTCGCTGAAATGGACAGCATCTCGATTTATGAATATTCAAATTATGAACACGCTCGCTCATCCAATATAATTTGCCAATAAAATATCATTTTTGGAATTTAATTTAACTGCAAGGCCGTTTTATATTTTGGAGATGGCTGCATGCAGTTGGCAACGGCCATGGAAAACGAATTAATTTTTGTTCTCAATAAATTTTTTTACAAAGAATCAGCGACGTTACAAATTAAGACAAGACTGCTACATAAAATTATGGCAAGTGGCAGTTTGGTGATAAGAAACTTGTTGTTGGAATATATTATCAAAGGGTCGAGGTAATTTAAGATTTAAAATATTTCTATTTCAGTCTAGGTCAGCGAAGTTTCGGACGAGTTGGCAACGGCCATGGTGGCTAGGAGACGGCCATATGAAAAACGAATCAATTTTTGTTCTCAATAAAAATTTTAACAAAGAATCACCTACGTTACAGATGAAGGCAAGACTTCAACATAAAATAATGCCAAGTGAAGATTGGAGATAAGAAACTTGCTGTTGGAATATATTATTAAAGGGTTAAGGTAATTTAAGATTTAAAATATTTCTATTTCAGTCTAGGCCAGCGCAGACTGGACCAAGAGAAGTTGAATATGTCATCAAAGGGCACTTTAAGACGGCCATATGAAAAAAGATAATACAGGGTTCCCCATTCCAATCGACGAGGCTTGTCCGCAGGCAACATTCTTTGTGTCAATTGAATTTTGTACGGGAACAAATGCAAATCAATGCGAATAATCCATTGTAAAGTGGACCGAGCCATGCCCAACTGTTGAGAACGGCGTTTTTTGGATGTTCTTGAGGACCTCTCAACACTGGCTCGTACGGCAGCGATATTCTCGGCCGATCGCCTTGGTCGACTTTTATATGGCCTCTATGGATTAGAAAGAGCCTTACCAGTCGAAAATTTTTTGTATAAACGCTTAATGGTGTTCTTAGAAGGCGCACTTCTCACATTTTTTTTCACAATTGACTTCTTCTGTTGAATGTAAATTTCAACTATTTCAGAGCGCTCGCGTGGCGTGTATTGGTTCATGGTAAAAATCTGCTTGGACTGACGCTTCAAAGGCGGTATGTCATTAAGCGATGTGACATCTCTGTCAAAAGTTATGGCGTTGCCAGATGGATCCGTCGAATATGGGCAACTCTGTAAACTTGTTGCGGAATATGTTATCAAAGGGCACTTTGAGATTTAGGTTAGCGGAGATCGAATCTAGGTAGGTCACTCGCTTTCAACTCATCGGGCATGTTAGATGCTGTTAGATGCTGAATATGCTGATATAAAATTCCATTGGATAAATGCAGTCCGACTGTAAAAACCTATTTCAATACTCAAGGCAACGGCCATGATGATCAGGAGACGGCATACGAATGAATTAGTGTTCTCAATGAAATTTTAACAAAGAATCCGCGAGGGAATAAATTAGACCAAGACCACGCGCAAAAAAGTCAAGTGGCAGAATGGAGATAAGACACTTGTTGTGGAATATTTTATCAAAGGGTTATTTAAAATTGGGAATATTTTTCTAGTCTAGGCCAGCGGAGATTGAAACTAGGGAAGTTCCATGCACCCAACCAATAGACTACATGTTTCGCTGTCGGTTAGGGAACCCATAAGGCATATGAGATGCTATTTTAGAGACTATGATGGCTAGGAGACGGGATATGAAAAACAAATTAATTTTTGTTCTCAATAAAATTTTAACATAGAATACGCGAGGATATACATTAAGTCAAGACGACATGAAATAATGCCAAGTGGCAGATTGGAGATCAGAAACCTGTGGAAAGAGTCAAGGTAATTAAAGTTTTCAAAATATTTTTTAAGTCTAGGTGAGATAAGATTGAATCTAGGCGGGTCACACGCATCCAATTAGTAGGCGATGCTATTCATCGTAGGTTAAGGGACTCATCAGGTCTTCTTTGAAATATTTTATATGCGAATTAATGTCAAACATTTTTCATTCCAAGTTTGTCTTTAATCTGGCTTTGGAAACCTATTTCAGGTTTCAATCCTTTTCTGGTTTAAAGTTTTTATTCTTCTAATAATGCCCACCATAATATTGAAACCCCGATCTTATCTTCTGTTGACACAGGTCAACATTGAAAATCGATTTTTAGGTAGTTTTAGGTCGAAGATAGAATTATTTATCCATCGAAATTTCTGAATGTCGAATTTTGCCCTTGAAAACGTATTCTTAACTTAGTTTGAGCCCAGCAGTTTTTTTTAATTACAGAGCTTAAATTGAAATGTATTTCCCCATTTTTATACCCTCATCCTTATGGTTAAAGGGGGGGATATATCATTTGATACGGCCAAAACGTGTCTCATTGAAAAAAAGGTTTTAGACCCTAGGTCTCTTTCGACCAAATTGGTTTCACGACATTTGGAGTCGATCTAGCGATGTCCGCCCGTCCGCCTGTCTGGATGTTGAGCACGCTAACTCTCGAAGAGAGTTTCCGACTTGATCCAAACTTGGTATATCATAATTTTATTGTCAAACTTAGATAGAGTTCGGAGATGGACAATATCGGTCCACTCCTTCTGGTAACTCCCCCAAAAATTTCGAAATTTTCAAAAAAAAAAAATTACTGCAAAAAAAAGCGAAAGGATAATCCGGTTTTGCTCCAACTTTGTAAATCCTAATATTTGTATCAGTGCTACGTCAGGTGCGAAAATTGACAATATCGGTCCACACCATGAAGAACCACCCCACCACCAAAAGGGTAAAAATTGAATTTAATATCCTTGAAACTCAAAAAATGCAAAATTAACATCCGATTCCATTCAGACTTGGCAAATCTCAATATTTCCATAAACACAAGATCTCTTATAAAGATGGTAGAGATCGGACCATCTTGTGGTACATGCCCCACAAAGGGTCAATGTTTGGAATAACCAAAACGATCATAAAATTCGATATAAGCATTCGGTTCTCCTCAAATTACACACATCACAATATTTTGAATTAACCCATGGTCTGGTGTGAATATGGAATATATCGGTGCACTCCTTCTGGTACCTTCCGCACAAAAGTTCAAAATTTTGAATATTTTTGAAGCTCATAAAACGCAAATTAACATCCGATTCCATTTAGACTTGTCGTATGCCAAAATTTCTAGCAACACAAGATCCGTTGTAAATATGGAAGAGATCGGACCATTCCCCACGGAGGGTTCAACATTTTTGAAAAAAAAAAAAACAAAACTCTCAAAGAATGCGAAATCCAAATATTTTTGCTAACGCAAGATCTGGCCAAGCCCTTTTGGTACCTCATGTACAAAGGATCACAATTTTCAATGCTTATATCTGTCACAACTTGCGAAACAATTCGGCGATTCTTTACAACTTGACATCTCTAAATATTTCTCTTAGCCAGAAATCTGATATGAATATATAATTTATGATTTCGCATAATATTGTATATAAATATTCGATTTTTATTCCTCTTCTAAATTTTTTTTTTTTTAACTCAATGACACTTGTTCTAGTTTTCTTTGTCCTGAAATACTTCATAAATTTACAAATTTTAATTTTCCCCAAAATATTTGAAAAAAATTATCCTGAAAATTTACACATAACAAACTTAATTAAACAAAGTTTTCAATACCCAAAACAAATTTCCATAATTTCTCAACTTCAAAATAATATCACAAATCATCCATTTTTGCCCCCTTCGAAATTGTTTCAAATTGCCATTTAGGCTTCATAGTAGCACATAGACATTTCTCTAATTCGCAAAACTTTTAATAGCACTTAAACAATTTTAATACTATCTCCAATATTTTATAGAGTTGTACATGCACACACACAAACACACACACACACAGATATCTACAACTGCATATGTGCGCCAAGCAATTTTCCCCCAAAAAAAAACTGATATTAGATCTTTGCTGCTGTTGGAAAAAGTTTCGGCTCTTTCTCTGTTTTTACCATTTTCTGCTTGAGAAATTTCCTATATTGCAGTGTAATTGAGTTGTAGAATTTTTTTTCAGCTGCTAGAAAGGATTATGGCAAAGGGTGGTGATTGGAGGAATTTGTTTAAAATGTCAAAGAATAGGGGGCAGGACATTTTTGGAAAAATTACATTTGAAGGGCCAAGAATCTAAAGGAGGATTAAGGGAGAAAAATCAAACCGCAGCACCCACTTTCGTGGTATAGTCAAGTATCTGAAGATAAGTAAGCGGAAACTTTGCAAAAACTAGGTAAGTTCAAGAGATATTCCATGTCTATGTTATTTTCTACTTTTGCAGATCCACATCGCTAGTTTCTTTCAGGGGAGAAAGTCTTGACTAATTGTTGGCGTTCCATTTATTTGGAATCTCATGACAAAACCCTCGGATGCCGATGCTCGCATTTTAGAACCGATCTGAAGATAATTATGGTGGAACAACTAAATTTCCCGATTCACATTTCAAACATCATCACCACATAATGACCGCATGTATTTTCAATTTCTTGTTCACTTTCGATTTTATAATCCAATAAGGTATTACGTCCAAAAAGAAGTCATCCACAAAAAAAAAACCGGTTCATCGAATTCTTACAAATTTGTACATGTTTGACGTGCGGACATGCGCTTCTTTGATGGTTTGTTGTTTCTTTGTTTTTGTCGTTTGAACTCAATGGCCATAAAAATTATAACTATTAACACCATTTGGCATTCAAAATTATGGATAATTTTGGAATCACAAAAAAAGAAGCAAAACAAAAACTGGTTCAAGTCATCTTTGATGATTGACATGTAGATTTGTCAAATGGCATATGACAGTTTGTAATTAGTGTGAGTGAAGGATGGATAACATATTTTTAAGAATTTTTTTGCATTTAATGATATGCTGTGAAATCAAACGCGGAAAGAGGCCTTAAAATTAAACAATGGAATCCTATTTTGAAGAAAAACTTAAATTTTAATTTTTCTGGAACGTTGTTTTAGGTTTTCAGTTTGGTCCAATTTCACAAGATCCGAACTTATTTAACCATACAAGAGCAGATAGATTCTTCTCGTCAACACAAAATAAAAACATTTTTAAATTCGACGAAAACAAACCCAAAAAACCTGCTAAAAAATCT